GGTCTCGCTCTTGCTCAGGCTGGTTTCGAACTTCTGAGCTCAAACAATCCGCCCGCCTCGGCCTCCCAGAGTGCTAGGATTACAGGTGTGAGCCACTGCGCCTGGCCTTTACTTTTTTTTTTTGAGACAGAGTCTTACAAATTATCATTTTGTAAAATGTTATTGACTAATATCAATAGGTAAAAGTAAAGTCCTACCTCAATAAGGTTCACTCGATTTTTCAGTTTTCATTGTATGGGATAAATGACCCAGTTCAACAAATGGATGGCAATGGGAAAAAGGATTAGGGAGGAACTTGCGGACTAAAAAGACTTAAGAGATGTATCAAGCAAATGCAATATGTTGACCTTGTTTGGATCCTGGTTTAAACAAACAAAATTTGACAACAACTGAGGAAATCCGAACACTTAATGAAAGTGAAATATATGAGTATATGTAATATCAGTATTTAAAATAAAGGAATTACTCGTGTGTGTTGGTTAGATATTTTATTAGTATTGTACTCTTACTATGTCTCAGAGATGGACTGAAGTATTTATGGATGAAATGGTATGATATCAGGGAATTCCAAAGTAATGTTAGGAAAGTGCATGTGGGTGTAGATGAAACAAAATCAGCCAGATGTTGGTAGGTGCTGAAGCTGGGCAATGGGATCATGGAGGCTTAATCTATTATTTTTTTTAACATGCTTGAAAATATCCATAACAAAAAGTTTTTTAAAAATCACCTTTATTTAAAATCCAGGCATGAGCAACAATAATAATGTTATCTTTAAATCATTTACAAAATGTGATTGGTGTCTTCAAAAAGCATGGAGTAGTACAAAGAAGAAAAAAATTTTGAAAAACATAATTTTCTTAACAAAATAACCCGTATGGCTGTTTTTTAAAAATGAAAAATACATACATGTATACAGTTTTTTTAAACCGTATTCGGTATTATTTATTCACTCAATGACAATAACTCTCACTTTCCTGTATTTTACTTTCTTTTTTTTTAAGGTAACTAATCTAGATGACAGTAACTGGACAGCTGCATTTTCATCACAGCGTTTAGGGCTCTTCACAAACGTGGAGCCCCACAATGTAACAGAAGATATAACTCTCAGTGCTGTTATGTTGCGGGAGGATGATCCTGGAGAAGCTGGTAAAATGGCTTTGAGCTTTGTTACAAAGTAGCTTTTCATTTTATTAGGATCAAAGAAACTGTCTCCTCCTGTTCTGAATGTCATTATAATGTATTTTTCTTTTCTTTCTTTCTGTTTTTTTTTTGCGGAGGGAGTGGCTTAAACAACAGAAATCTATTTTCTCACAATTCTAGAGTCTAAAAGTGTGACATAAAGGTGTTGGTGGGGTTGGCTGTTTCTGAGGCCTCTCTCCTTGGCTTGTAGATGGCGGTGTTTCTCCTGTGTCTTCACAGGGTCTTCCTGTGCCTGTAATATATTTCCATTAAGCTAATTAGTTACGGTCATGGCTACACAATTTGATACATTATCTCCAGAAGGTTAAGAACCTCACCTTAGTTCTCAGCAGCATATTGCCATTTTTTAGTGTAAATAATAGCCTCTTAAATTATTGCATGAGGCTCACGTTTTTATTATTTTCCTATTTGTGCTGTTTAAAGAGTATGTCTTTTTCTTTAGACTTAGTTTTTGGTTTTATTTTTTATTTTTTTTTGAGACAGGTTCTCACACTGTCACCCAGGTTGGAGTGAAATGGCATGATCGTAGCTCCCTGCAGCCTTGAACTCTGGGCTTAAGTGATCTGCCTCAGCTTCCCGAATAGCTAGGACTACAGATGCGTGCCACCACACCCAGATAATTTCTAAAACACTTTTTTTGTAGAGATGAAGTCTCACTATGTGGCCAAGGCTGGTCTTGAACTCCTGGCCTCAGGCAATCCTCCTGCCTCAGCCTCCCAAAGTGCTGGGATTCTAGGTACAAGCCAGCACACCCAGCCATAGTTTTAGTTGTTTTTGTTTTTGTTTTTGAGAGAGGATCTCACTCTGTTGCCCAGGCTGGAGTGCAGTGGCATTGTCATAGCTCACTGTAGCCTCAAACTCCTGGGCTCAAGTGATCCTCTTACCTCAGCCTCCCAAGTAGTTGGGACTACAGGTGGGCACCACCACACCCAGCTAATTTTTCTATTTTTTACAGATACAGGGTCAGTTTTTAATCTGACTTTGTTGATGTGTTTTGTTTTGTCCTAGACCATACCAGTGTTTTCTCATGTAGTATTATGACCTTGTTAGTTTCAGATTGGTTATTACCATTCCCTTTTGGAGAAAAACCAGTTACTTTTAGTGTCTGTATACCTCTACATTATTATTACATTCTTCATCATCTTATTGTCATCATAAACTAACATATACGAATGCTGGTTAATGTGTTTACCACTGTACAAACATCAACTCATGTAATCCTTATCCTAGTCCATTAAATAGTTCCAATAATTATTCCCGTTTTAGAGGAAAGAAAACTGCTGGTCAAAGAGGTTAAGTAACTTGCTTAAGATCACTGAGCTAGGAAGCGGTGGCATCAGGATTTAAAACTAAGCAATTTATTTCCAGAGCCCTGCTCTTAACACTTTGATAATCACTTTTTTTTCCTTGTAGTATCTGCCAATAATAGGTACTCAAATATTGAGTGACTCAAAAATGCTTTCTATTGAATCTATAAAATATAAGAATTCTATTTTCAGAGACCTTAATTTAAGTATTATACAGTACTGTAGTAAAGTGTATTTATTCTCCCTGAATGGAACATATCATTTAGTATTTATTACAACTGTCTCAGCTACTTTGTTTTAGTATGCTTAAAATGTAATTCAGATGTTTTAAAATTTGGCTCAATTTTTTAAATAATTGTTGATAACACAAAAAGACTAATAACTAATACATCTTTGAGATCTTAAAAGACTTACAGATAATAAAAGAAAACATACATAAATTGGATTACATCAAAATTTTTAACTTCCATGAATCAAAGGATATAATCAACAGAGTGAAGAGGCAACCCACAGAATGGGAGAAAATATTTGCAAATCATTTATCTGAGTAGGGGGTTAATATCCAAAATATATGAAGAACTCCTATAACTCAACAACAAAAAATCAGCCTAATTAAAAAATGGCCAAGGGAATTGAATAGACATTTCTTCAGAGAAGATGTACATATGGTCAATAAGCACATGAAAAGATACTCAACATCACTGATCATTAGGGAACTATAAATAAATCAAAACTACAGCGAAATACCACCTTATACCCATTAGGATGGCAACTATTAACATATTAACTGCCATGGGAATTGTATTTAACTCATGCTAGTTTTGAGCCCGGGGCCTCCTGAAGCATATGTAACTCACATGACTCTTTTCCTTGAGCCATGTGAACTATTTCTCAAGTTGCTTATAACTCACACACAGAAAACAATAAAAAACAACAAATTTTTTATTAGGAAGGATTGTTTTGTTTTCGAAGTTTTTATTCTATTTTTTTTAGCACGGCAGACAATGTGTTAAAAAAAAAACAAAATAACAAGTGTTGTCAATGATTTGGAGAAATGGAAACCTTTGTGCACTATTGGTGGGAATATAAAATGGTGCAATCAGCTAGGTGTGGTGGCTCACACATGTAATCCCAGCACTTTGGGAAGCTGAGGTGAGGGAGGATCATTTGAGGCCAGGAATTTGATATCAACCTGAGCAACATAGTGAGACCCCATCTCTTAAAAAAATAAAAATTAAAATGGTGTAGTCGCTGCGGAAAACAGTATGACAGTCCCTCAAAAAATTAAAAATAGAATTAACATATGATCCTACAATTCCACCTCTGAGTATATACCTAAAAGAATTGAAAGCGAGGGTCTCAAAGAGATGTTTGTGTACCTATGTTCATAGCGTTATTCATGGTAGCCAAAAGGTGGAAGCAAGCCAAGTGTCCATTGGTGGATGAATGGAAAAACAAAATGTGGTATGTACATACAATGGAATATTATTCAGCTGAAAAGGAAAGACATTCTGACATATGCTGTAACATAGATCTACCTTGAGGATACTATGCTAAGTAAAATAAGCCAATCACAAAAGGACAAATACTGTATGATTCTACTTACATGAGATATTTAGACTATTTGAATTTACAGAGACAGAAAGTAGAATGATGGTTGCCAGGGACTGGGGTAAGTGGGAAATGGGGAGTTAATGTTTAGTAAGTACCAAGTTTCAGTTTTGCAAGATGAGAAGAGTTCTATGGATACATCATGGAGATGGTAGCAAAGCAACGTGAATGTACTTATTACCATGGAACAAACTGTACACTTAAAAATAATGAAGATGATAAATTTTATGCTATGTGTATTTTACCAGTTAAAAATTTTTAAACACATAGCAGTGAATATAAAAAAGACTTGTATGTTATGTTTTTAAATTTTCAAACAGAATTACCTAGAAGTATGTTACTTAACTTTTCTTTATTCATTTTCTTTTTAATGTGTTCTAGCATCCATGAGTATGTTTTCTGATTTCCTGCAGTCTTTTTTGAAGCATTCTTCAACTACAGTTTTCGACCTTGTGGAAGAATATGAAAACATTTGTGGTAGTCAGGTAAGCTAATTTCACTCCATCATTGGTCAAACTTTAGCACTTTTAGTTTTTCTGAGTAGCATTAATCTACTAATTTCCATACTGCTTCCATACATGTTTCAGAGGTACAGTGGCAGGAGTGGAGGGGAGGTCAGCCAGGAAGAACATCCCTGCATTTTATATATTGAGAGTCCATACAAAATTTCTTTGGGGGACAGAAGGGTTCTATGGCTTTAAAAAAGGGAAATCCAAAATCTACAAAAACTCTTAAAACTCAGCAATAAGAACATGAACAATCTGATTAAAAAATGGACAAAAGATGGGAATAGGTGTCTCACCAAAGAAGATATACAGATGCCAAATAAGCATATGAAAAAATGCTGTGCATCATATGTCATTCGGGAATTACAAATTAAAACAAGATGCTACTATACACCTATTAGAATGGTGAAACTTCGTAAAGATGTGGAATCGACCAAGATGTCCTTCAGTAGGTGAATGAATAAACTGGTACGTCCAGACAATGAAACATTATTCAGTGCTGAAAAGAAATGAGCTATCAAGCCATGAAGAAACACGGAAGAACCTTAAACACATATTGTTAAATGAAAGAAGCTAATCTTTCAACCTGAGAATGCCGACTGCCCAAAAAAAAAAAAAAAGGAAGAAAGATGAAGCCATATGAAAGGGCTACAAACTATATGATTCCACTTTATGACATTCCATATGGGGACAGTTAGAAGATCAGTGGTTGCCTAGAGTTAGTGGGGAGGGAGGGATAAATAGGTAGAGCACAGAGGGCAGTGAAGCTACTCTATGATACTGTAATGGTGGATACATGTCATTATACATTTGTCAAAACCCATGGAATGTACACACCACCAAGAGTGAACCCTAACGTAAACTATGGACTTTGGGTGATAATGGTGTGTCAATGTGCGGTCATCACTTGGTACAGATGTACCACTCTAGTGTGAGGTATTGATAAGGAGGCTGTGATTTTGTGGGGATGGGGTTATTCAGGTACTCTGCTTTCTGTTCCATTTTGCTGTGAATCTAAAACTGCTCTAAAAAATAAAGTCTATTTTTAAAAAGGAGAAAAGACTTCAAAATATACATTCAAGAATAATTGAAATTATAATAATAGACAACTTTTTTTAGTATTTAATGTTTTAATAACATCTGAATTGTTCCATTGTAAAAGCAGTAGCTTTGTTAAATAACAAAAGCAATAATAATCACTTAATGAATCACTGGAGTCAGGATCCCAGTTGGGAATTTAATAAATGAATGAAAAGTATAGATAACACTTTTATTAAATAGTGGTCTTAGACAGTGTTAACATTACTTTATGAATACTTTTTAATGTGTGGGAAAACCTCTTGTGCTGATTCTTCATGTTCTGAATGAGAACAATCTTATTTCTTAATTCCCCTTATTACTAGATTTTCATACATGCCTCAGTCCTAAAAAGATTTAAGACCACTATTGTGGAACAAGGAGGGACTTTGGTGAAGTTTTGTTTAGAAATGACAGTGTTTTGGTGCCAATCTTAGGAAAATATTTTTCTTGATTTGTTACATGGTATAAATTTCAAACATAATTTTTTTTAAGATATCTCTTTCAATTTTCATTGCTACTATGTTGGCTCATATTATGATTTTGCCAGGTGTAGGTTTGATTTAACTTATCCTTTTGGTAGATATACAGGGAGAAAAAAAAGTACCCATGGCTGCTACTGTTGAATCTGAAATCTAGAGTATGTTAGACTTTTACATGTATATACATAAACACACCTTGCCCCAAATTAGGACCATTTCTAGTGGGAATGTTATATTATGTTCAATTTAAAAAGGCAAAATAGATAGGAACAATTTATAACATACGTATGTGTATATATATTAAATATAGTATTGCTTTAGTGCATGTACTTGAAGAATACAAAGTTTTCTGTGATTCAAAATTGTAGGACATTAACGTTTTTACATCTGTGTTTTTAATTCAGGTGAATATACTGAGTAAAATAGTGAGCAGAGCAACACCTGGACTTCAAAAGTTTTCAAAAACAGCCAGTATGCTCTGGCTTCTTCAACAAGAGATGGTCACATGGAGGCTGCTAGCTTCTTTGTATAGGTAAAGGTGTACAGAATTCATAATTGAAATAAACATAAGGTGACAAATCAATAGGTAAATTAATTTAAAAGTTAGAGTAGGATGTGCTTGCAAATAGGTTTTATTATTTTTGGTGCTTATCATTTCTAACACCTTAGTTGGCAGGAATGAATTATGAGGGAGGAGGGGAATATCAGGTCATAAAGCTGGTAGTTAAAATTTGGATATGTATCAAGATTTAAGGAAAGTGCTAAAAATAGTGCAATATTTAGGATAAATTAAGAACTGAAAGGTAGGCTTTGTGCAATATGGAAGTTTGAAAGAAGTCAACCAAATTTTCCTTCTGAGATGCTCAGTGGTGAGTTTCATACATTCATGTTAATTAAGCCTTTTTCATTTTTGTTATTATTCCCCAGAGACAGAATACAGTCTGCATTAGAAGATGAAAATATGTTTGTAATTACTGTAAGTTTTGTATTAACCTTTATAAATGCTTAACGATAAAAGAAAATGTTTTTTACTAATAGGATTTAATTTCCAACCCTCCATTTTTTTCTTTTTTTTTAAAACCTGGACTTCAGCATTATAACCAACTCTCCATCTTGAGTTTCTTCATTATACAAATTTTACAAGTAAATAAAAGATACAGTCTCATAAAGTAATCTAATATTGATTTATATTAGAGAATTAAAGGTAAAAGTCCTTTTTTATCACACCAACTATTCAGTATAACAATTTGGTATGTGTTTTACCAGGCATTTTCTGTGCATCTTTATAGATACATACACACACACATAAATAGTTTGTTTTTTTTAACATACAGTATGATTTCATTTATACATTATACTGAAAGTTTCTTTTTTAATTCATTAATGGTTTTTTTTTAATGTCAGTTCATATAGGGTTTTACTGTGTTTTTTCATAGTATGTCAGAGTCTAAATGTCCCATAATTTTTTCAGACGTTCTGCTGGACATATTTAGGTTGTTTGTAGTATTTTTGCTATAGCAATCAATAATGCAGTGAACATTCTTTTTTATATGTATGTATTAAGATGTGTGCAAGTATTTCCTATATTTCTGGAAGTGAAATTATTGGGCCAAAGTTTGATAGAGATTGTTACATTGCCTTCCTAATAGGCTATACCAGTTTACACTCTCACTAATAGTTTATGAAAATGTTTACTCTCATATGGGATATTATCAACTATTTGATTTTGTCAGTTGGGGGGAAGGTATCTCATTGTTTTAATATGTGTATCCTTGATCACTAGTGAGGTAGAGTATCTTTTTATTCTTTTCTGTTTGTACTGTATGAATTCTGTGACCTTTTGCTCACTTTCTTAGTAATTATTTTCTTTTTTTTTGAGACAGAGTCTCACTCTGTTGCCCGGGCTAGAGTAATTGTTTTCTTATTAATTCCTTTAGACATGTTAAAGATACTCTCCTCGTTTCTGTCACTTGTCTTTCAACTTTGATGGGTCTTTTCCATTTTTATCTGATCATATCTATCATATTTTCCTATAGCATTTATTATCTAGTGTCTTGCTAAGGAAGGCCTTTCCTATCTATTTTAAAAATATTCTCCAATGTTTTCTTCTAAATTTAAGTCTCACTTTAAGTCAAGAGTTTAAATATTAAGCTCTTGAATTCATCTACAGTGAGTTTGTCTATAAAGTAAGCAAGAGATTTAACTTTTTTCAAATGAATATCCATTTATTCCAACAGCATTTGTCAAAGGGGCCACCTTTTACTGATTTGTAATGCTACCTTATAATATACCAAATCATATTTATACATGGGTATTTTCTGTTTTATTTATTGATTCATTCATTTGAGAGCCAGTACTACACAACTGAGTCAGTCTAACTCAGAAGTTTTTATATTTGGTATCTGAGTAATACTGAAATTAACTTGGGGGAGAAATGACATCTTTACCATGTCGAATCTTCCTAATTATGATAATGGCATAGCTCTCCATTTATTCAGGTCTTTTATTTTCTATATAGATCTTGTGCTCTTCTCTGTAAAATTCTGTGTGAGTCCTATTGTGTGTAGATTCCCTTTCCTATTATATTTTTTAGTTAGTTATTAACAAATAGAAAGTTATTGATTTATGTGTAGAGCTCACATTTGGCTATCTTTCTGAACTCACTTATTAGCTCTAATAGGGTTTTCATCTTATTGGGTTTTCTATGTTGGCACTAATCATCTGCAGATAGATTTCCTTAACTTTTTCTAATCTTTATCCCCCTTATTTCTGTTACTTGCCTCATTGCATTGACTAGGAGCACCCATACAGTATTGAATTATATCAGTAATAGTAGGCATTCTTTTCTTGTTTCTGAAAAGAATGCTTTTGTTTCATCGTTACATTTGATGTTTTCCTATAGATTAGGATTTTTTTTCCCCTAAGTTAAGAGTTAGAATGGGTATTGAATGTAGTAAAAAATTTTTTAGCTTCTGTAGATTTCAGCTTTAATTTATTGATGTAATGACTTACAATAATTGTTTTTATGACGTATCTTCATCTAGTTTTGGTGTTTAGAATTGTGCTAGCTCTCTAGAACAAGTTCAGAGATCTTCCATCATTTTTCTGCACTCTGAAGAACATAGGAATTACCTGTTCTTTGAAGGCTTAGTAAAAATATGCCTGTAAAACTACCAAGGCCAGATGCCTTTTGGGGTTTAATTACTTTTTATCTTTTGATTTCAAAAGTAATTCATGTTTGAAGCAACTATATATAGTCAAAAAAGGGGAAAATAAATATATTTTTATAATAAATAATTTCAACTGTATGTATCTTTTACTCTGCTTTTTCACCTAAAATATTTTTAAATATCTTTCCAGTCTTTTAATTATTCTGCAAATACTTCATTCCAACAAAGTAACATGCATATCTAGGAATTCTGTCTTATATTTGGGTATTTATTGAGCTCACTTATTAATCTTAAGAGTTTTCCATTGATTTTCTTTGGTTTTCTAGGTAGGCAATTCTATTATCTATAAATAGTGATGATTTTGGCTTTTAACATTCTTATTGCTAACTTCATTCTTTTTCCGGTTTTATTACGTTAGCTGGAAATTTCAAAGTAAAGTGGAATAATAGCAGGGATTCTTATTCTTTTTATCTTCTGGATTTTAAAGGGAGTGTCTCACTTTACAGTTAACTGTAGTCAGCTCTCTGTATCTGTGGGTTTTGCATCCATGAATTTAACCAACCACAGATAGAAAATATTAAGGAAAAAAATGGATGGTTGCGTCTGTACTGAACAGGTACAGACTTTTTTTTCTTGTCATTCTCTAAACAATATAGTATAACTATTTACTTAGCATTTACATTATATTGGGCATTATAAGTAATCTAGAGATGACGTAAAGTATATTATGACATTTTATTTTATTTATTTATTTTTTTATTTTTTTGAGACAGAGTCTCACTCTGTT